AAAACTGATTTGTATGACATCGACTTTCAGTTTTCTCTGGTGCCAAAGCTGCAAAATAATTTGAAGTGCAAACAACTTGAGATAAAAAGTAAGATACTGTGCTGGTTTACGATCTCTGGTGCAACACTTGCATGTTGGATCAACTAATTTATGTCAGTGTTGAAAGAGTCGCAGCATCTCGATGACACAATATGCCATGATCCCTGGAAAACTCAACACTTTTACACAGCAACTAGGGGTTAATTCCCCACGCCCATTACACTTTCCTCCCTCCATGACACTAAATGATTTGAATTTACATTTTATCACACAGTTACGACAGTCAAATGCTGCCTTTGCTGCCTTCCAAAGCACTCTCTTTTGGCAAAGCGATATGTAGTCTCAGCAGTCATCTCCTATACCTCCGTCTCTCAGTGAAAGGCTTACTGCCGTCTCCCTCCAGAGAGGAGGATGCTCTGCATTGTGCCCTCCACCATTTTAGACTGGCAGATGAAACGGTGCAAGGAGCTATCTCTCTCTGCATGTGCCGACGCGGGGAGCTCAGCGAGAAAGAGGCAGAGTGAGTGCGCCATTAGAGGAGAAAACGAAATCACCTCGGGTTATCTTGGCGGCTTTTGTGACAGCCCGATAAGATGAACTATTTAAAAAAAAAGAGGCAGAGAAAGCAGTGTGAGGGAAGAAAAGAGCAGTGTGAGTGAAAGACAGACAAAGAGATTTGGGCCAGTCAGATGTACAGCATCGTAAAACATCATTTAAGTCAGCCGGTGTGCATCAAACAGTGGCTCCTGTTGTTGAGCCTTTCAGTGCTGGTTAACTCCTTTCAAAAGAAGTTTTTTTTTTCTCTCACTAAGTTATAATTGCACAGACTCCAACTGCAGGAAAGAACTGTCAAGATATTTTTTTCCTGCTGATGCCATGCTGTTGGCATGGCGTCTAATACACATGCTGTAGCCAAGGTTTTCAAATTATCTATACAGCAAAAAGAGCATTTGTTATCCTGAAATATAGTCAAAAAACATTGTGGGAGACACATATGAAAGGGAGGGGTTTAGGGTCCTCCCTCAGGAAATTTTATGCATCAATTTGTGGAGGAAATGTCTTTTATTTCATCAGAATAAAAGTCTGGCTACTTTAATGTTTTATTGGTCGGGACAAATGCACATTACCTAAATATTGAGAGGTACATGTCCCCTGCACCCTAGGGCCGGGCAATATTACCACTATGTACGATATATCTATATATTTTTGAGCAAGAAATAAATTTAGGCAACACCAATCCCAATACCCCCCCCTCCCCCCCTTGTCTACTACCCCTTAGCCCTTGGCCCTACCCTAGCCCTTGCTCACTACCCCTTGGCCCTCGAAATGAAGCAACGAGGGGTAGGGGTTGAAATCTTTCCCTAGGAATTTGGACACCACTCACTACGTCACTGTGTCGGTTACGTTCACGCATATGTAACTATTTTAAACAGGAAGTCGTGAGCAATCTACATTTCCAACCGGCATCTACAATGGAGTCTCCAGTTGAGTTCATCCTACCGACTGTGTTTGCTGTATTCATCATGCTTCATTTGATGAATGACAGACGACGAAATGATATGTACGACAGGGGACTTCTGCTAGCTGGCTAGCTAGCTAACCACCTAACATTACGAGGCAGCATAGTTATACTAGCTGACGTGTTATCATAATGTGAAAAATCCGAAAATTTTGCAGAACAGGACAGATGACAGACACAAGATAGTGCGAGCTAGCTAGCTAGCTAGCTAACAAGCAACATGACGACGGTAATGTTAGCTAGCTGGCTAGCTTTCTGTCAACTCCAATCCAGACATTGTGAATAGCAATAAAAACTTTTTTCCCCGTCTCTTGCTCGGTGGTGGTAGCCATGGCGACGTCTACCCCTCGCTGGCACATCAGCATCTGAAATCTCTCGCTCCGAAGGGTTAGTTTCATACCCACTATCCCTCGTTATGCCCCCTACACCCAAAAAGGAATTGGGACACCCCTAACCCTCACGGGAATGCACAAATCTAGGGGTAGGGCCAAGGAGGGGTATTGGGACGGGCCCTAAGTCTACAGTGCAACATTGGTCTATATGTTACACGTGCTACGCTCCATCAGTCTGTGAGATAAATAAAATGACCGCAGTAGCACACATACTACTTTATACTTTTATACTGATGTTATAGTTTTGTGTCCTGTGCTGCAAACCTTTAAACCTCTGTAGCTCCAGTGCTATGTGCAAAAAGTTAAAGCATAGCCATGCTATCTATTTTAAATCATTTTAATAAACATGTTGTGCAGCTGTATATTTCTTTTAAACAGGGGAAACAATCCTGTCTTTGCATTTTATTTTGATCACAGTCTGTTTTTTTTTTTTATAAAAGTGCTGCTAACATCTCGAAGGTGGCTTTGACTTGCAACTGAAAACATGTAGTCCATTTTGTAAAAAATACCGAGATACATATCGTGTATCGCAAGACAGCCTGTAAATATCGAGATATGATTTTTTGTCCATATCCCCCAGCCCTACTGCTCTAAGTCTAGTGTTGAATGCATCTACTAGTCTTGTTGAGAGCTGTACTTTTCACATGTAGCGTTACAGTGCACCATCATTTTCAGACATTGTAGGAAACAGTGACTCAAAATGAAGAAAAAGGAACTATTGAAACGACTAAAGAGCCTTAAATGTATAACTAGGTCTTCATCATACGTTCCATTAGGTCGGTCCTGATTGGGCTACTTAGGCTGTGAACAGAGCGCTATGAACAGAATGTGCACCTCCTGAGAGAAAGACTGTGATTACTGTAATCAAGACTTTGTAGGAGAAGAGTAAGGATAAGGACAAATGTATGAGCATAAGTCCAATGTTTGATACTGCGAGCTTGTGTATATGCATATTTTATACCCTCTGGAGGTGCTTTGTGAGTATATGATCTGTATGTACGTTGTATGCATAGAGATAAAGGCTCTTTTTATCCCCACACAAACAGCCGTTTTCTACAAAGGGCGCAGTATACACATGACAATCCCCGGGCCAGTCTGAGTCTCCCTGTAAGCTCCCACAGTATTTACGCATTTATACATCTGCAGATGACAGCGTGTGTTCGGCAGAGTATGAAAAAGCTCTTTCGATTGGGGTTTGTAAGCAAGTGCTGAGGGCCTCCCACCCCTCCTCCCATCACTTCCTCTCGGTTTCTTTCTCTCCATCTCTCTGTGGATCCGGTTCAGTATGGGCCTGATGGGATCCCCCAAAGCCTCACCATCACCATGCCCCTACCCCCCCCTGTGGTTGTGGGTCGGTACCGGCCTTGGTAATTGATCCCTCTGGGCCCTCTAGACACATCCAGCAGTGGGTTGAACAGAATCACCACTAAGAAGACAGCTGCTTGGCCACCCCAGACAGGCCAAGAGAAAAGGGGGGAAGAAAAAGAGACCCTGTTGCTGCTAACCATTAACTGTGTCTGCCAGCTAGAGGGAGCAAAGTCAGCACATTGTCTCGGCTTGGAAAATATCAAATCCTCCATTTTGGAAGAGATATTGGGACTGTTAGCAAGAGAGAGGGACAGACGAAAATGAGAGTCTGCCTTTTAGGTTGTAATTAACAGCCTCGGAGTTTGTGGGATTGATCAGTGAGCAGTGTTGTTTAAAGCTAAAGCATCTGCTACAGCACCCTATCTGTATTACACTGCCCATTTTCAGAATTCCTGCTATTTCCATTTGGCTAAAATAGGTAATTGATTTCATAATAAAGCCAGGAGTGATGGCCGGCTTGTGCTCAAACTGCAAGCTGCGCCCAGTTAGAGGAGCTGCAGGTTTCTTTTAACAAGCAAGCAACAACAAATGCACAAGTACAAGGACACAAGAGTAAATACAGAATACTGTTTTTCAGCTTTGTAACAATGCATTTTTCCAGATAATTTGGTGTTTTTTGTCTGATGTCAAGCCATAGAGTTACATTGAATTCTTTACATGAGGAAAAATTAGAAATGTGATATTTTTTCGCTTAACACTGGACAGTGATGCTAATTAAAAACATAATAAGAGTCTGCAGCCATGTGAGCAGCTTTGTAAGGCTATACCAGGCCCACAGGAACAGAGCTCAGCCTTGCTTCCAATATTTCCCCGTGGCCACCTGGGTATTGTAGCAAAAAAAAAAATTCCCGGCAGCCCAAAAAGCATTTTCCTCATGGACCGCTATTATAAAAGAGACATCTCTCTAACTGTTGACAGAACACCTTGAACTGCAAACAAGTTCATTCAGTTACGACTTTTCTATTCTGATTTTTTGATCCACTGAGGTTTTATATTTCTGAAACTATCCACAAGCCAAGAAAATGGATTTAAAAATCTGTGTTGTCATCACAGTGTGAAGCTTATGGGCCAAGCAAGGAGTCAAGGGCATGACCAACAGGCACCATTTTGGGTCCTGTTGATAGCCACTAATACACTCATGGGCTTTACTTTTGCACAGCAGTGCCTTGAGCTGGGTGTGGCTCAGTAAGCAAGCACATCTGCAGTGCTAACATGCTTGGAAAGTATGATGTTTACCATGCTGATTATCCTAGTTTTGCATGTTAGCATGTAAAAAATGTGCCAATTAGCATTTAACACAAAGCGAGCGGGGGCTGATCAGAGTGTCATTTTGTAGGTGAATGTTGACATTATTAGACAATATTAAAACATTTACTTTATGGTGGCACTAGAGGAACAGTCAAGGGATAACTAAAATTAGGAAGGTTCATCATCTGGAAACCATGAATGTCTGTACAGGATTTTGTGTCAATCCATCCAGTAGTTGTTGAGATATTTTAGTCTGGACCAAAGGGATGGACCGTTAGAGATGAAGGGGGAAGATAATGCTAAAATAAGGCATGCTTACAAGATTATGATGCAAAATAAATAGATAAAGGAGTATAGAAAATGACACGACTTCAAAGCACACAGAATTAGTTAATGATTTATCTAATTGCCATTTTATTTCACTTTATTGCTTAACAAATCTGATCATTAAAAAAATCACAGGAAAAACACAAGACATCTTTGTGTTTTTCTTCAGTGAGGGCTCACACAGAATCAGACCCTGCTTTACTTCCACACTTCTATATTTAATATCCACAGAACAGCTCATTCAGTTTGTAAAAAGCCAAGCAGGCACATTATCAAGACACCTTCGTGAGACAAATTGATAATGGTGGTGATGGTGATGGTGCTGTGTCTGTGTCTAAATCTGGAAAAAAAAGAAAAACATTAAAAATAAAACACTGCATCCTCATAATGAGCTTGATAACCATACCGCCTTCCCCTCTCCCTCTCTTCCCCCAGGCTCTATGACGCGACAAGAGTCCCCCTCGACACTCTTGCACTATGGAGAGCATTGATGACCCCTTGACAGACAGCCAAAAACCATCTGCCAACACCACCCTACAACCACCACCACCACCACCACCACCAACATCACAACAACTCCACCCAAACCCTGGTCCCGCAAAGGCAGGAAGCAACATAAGCAGCTACAGAGCACCAAGGGCCTCATGGAGGCAGCAAGGTACAACAGAAAGCCCCTTAAATCCTTAAGGATTCAGTCCTTGTGACTGAAGCTCTTAAAGTGAAGCTGGTTGTTTATCTTAAAGATACAATTCACTGCAAAAGTGGTGAACTGCAGTGCTATTTATCAGTCTAGATTGTTTTGATGTGAGTTGCCAAGTGTTGGAGATATCAGCCGTATCTGGCTTCTCTCTCATATAATGGAAGTAGATGGCACTCGACTTGTGGTGCTCAAAGTGCCAAATGAATACATTTACAATACAATGTCTCTTTCCAAAAATCATGACCCAGTTACTCAAGATAATCCAAAAACCTTTTTGCGAGCAGTTTCATGTAAGAACCTTAAGTGCTATATTGTAGGCAACTGGACTTGCTTGTGTTTCTTGAAGACATTTCGCCCCTTATCCAAGAAGCTTCTTCAGTTTAGAGTGCTGAAGAAGAACTGAGTTTTTCAGAACTGAAGAAGCTTCTCGGATGAGAGATGAAGTCCAGTTGCCTACGATACAGCACTTACCCTTACCATGATCTGGATGACTGAGAATCTTCACCGATATTTTGCCATTTCAAGTAGGACTATAAGAACTATTTTCTTTCTGCCAAAACTAAATCTGCCAGCTGCATCAAAGTGCAGAAGGAAGTTTGCATGTACTGCTAGCTCACCTAACACAGCTGAGCCAGCTAATGTTCAGGACATCAGCATGAGCCTCTCATCAATTAGTGGATGCACGCTTCCTTCAGTGTGGTGATACGGTTGCCGAGTGTAGTTTGGTAGAAAGTTCCTACACACAGCTGCTCACAACAAAGTCTGTGGATTATCTTGAGAAACCAAGTGATGATTTCTGGAAAGAGACATTGCTGTTGAGTTTTTCAAATGTATTTTTTTTTTTTGCACTTTGAGCACCACAAGCTGAGTGCCATCTAGTTCCATTATGTTTGAGAGAAGGCTGACATCTCTACAGCCAATGTCTCTAATACTTGGCAACTCACGCCAAACAATCTAGTTATAGGTAACAGGAAAAATATGTATTTTTAAAAA